TGGTATTAAAACCTATTTTTACACTTTTATAATGCTTCTTACCTCAGTGTCAGGATTAACTATTTGCCCATAGCTGGGACCCTAACAGGTGCTACCCCCTTGGGTCAGGATGGACCTGGGAACACCAGCAATTAAGAGGTGGTTACGCGCTCTGCAAAATCTTATCAGAGGCCTTGCTGTTGGACGTAGTTTATCATCTTACCCTGGACACAGATGTAGTTTATTGTCATACCCAGGACAGGCAATATTTCAGAGTATGAAGTTAAAAGTATAAAAGGTAGTAAGTTAAAACAATCCAAGATTGGAGGTGGGGGGGATTTGTTATAATTCAGCAGAAATAGGGAATTAATTTTTTGATGTTTTGTGTCACAACTTTGGGTTCATCCAGAGTCAAGGAGAAATGATATGCTCTAAAAGAGTTTTGTTGATTTGAAGCACATACATTTGGCATTTGGACTACTAGGCCTAACCTCTGAAATCACTATGTACACATATTAACCTAACCTTGGAGTCATCACGCATACATATATTCATTCCCTATTTCTTCTCAGGCTGAATTACAACAATCCCCACCCCAACATTGAAAATCTTTTTTTGTGTGTGTCACTCAAGCAGATTTTTTTCAGTCTCACTTTATAGGATATCTTTACTTGATTTAATATCTATAATAAACAGGAAAATAAACTCAGTCAAGATTTAAACCTATGAAGTTGAAAGAAAATGGTATTCTTTGAATAACAGAATTAAAATCGATTGATATTTTTAAGGGTTATTTTGTTTAGTTCTGCTAGAAATCTGCTTGCCTGAATCATGCTATAAGTATTTCCATTCGGCCTTATTGGACTGGAATGTTTGTGCCTACAATAACTTTCCTCAATTTCTCGCCACAATTTATTTTCTTCATTTAACATTATAAAAACATTCAGAAAAATTTATCTTAAGGCAACATTTCAGAGTATGAAATTAAAGCTATAAAATGTTGTAAAGTAAAACAATTCAAGATTATCTTATTTTTTTGATGGTTTGTGTCACGACTTTGGGTTCAACCAAAATCAATAACATATCTCTGGAAGAGATGCACTTAGCAGTTGAACTACTCAGCTTGACACCAAGATCTATTATGTCATATATTATATATATATATATATATATATATATATATATATATATACACACACACACACACACACACACACATAGTGGGTTGGTATGGATATGTATGTATATATACTTGCATGTATACAGGTGATCTGTTTTTTTTTGTTTTTGTTTTTTTTAAATATATGTAGTTATATGTATATATGGGTGTATATATGTGGGTATGTGGGTACATGTATGTGTGGATGTGTATGTATACAATTTTTAATAATTTCTATCTATGTATGTGTGAGTGTGGGTGTGTATATATAGATGGGTACATGTATGTTGTTCCATAGATAGTGTATGTATGTATAAATATAAGAATTTGTGAGTTCATATATATAATATGGGAGAATATAGATATAATAATGTAATTAAGTATGGATTTTGATATGTTTTTTGCATGCACGCACATGTGGGTGTATATATGTATATATTTGTGTGTGTGTGTGTGTGTGTGTGTATATATATATATATATATATATATACACACACACACACATGTATATGTGTGTGTATATATATATATATATGGATATGTATGTGTGTATGTGTACGGATATGTGTGTATGTGTATATTTATGGATACATAGAATATTATAAAAGAAAGACTTACAGTCCTGTTATTAGTGTTTTATCTCATTTTCTCATTTAATATTCTCCAATTGGATGTGTGAGTTTAAAATTCTTTATAATATGGAGGAAAATTTTTTTAAATTGATAATCTAATTTAAATTTAAATATATTACCCTTTAATAATCATTATTGATGATAAAATATTTAAATTGGAAAATAAATTTATATTTAGGTAGATGTTCATACATGAAGTTACCTGTGTATTTCGGTACATGGGTACCTATATGAGTGATTGAATATGTAAAAAAACGTGTGTATATGTGATATTTGCATTGGTGTGTATACAGTATATGACAGAGCAAAATCTTTAATATTACCTTCAAATATTACCCCATATTAACTTAACTAAAATTTAAGTAAAAGAGATTACCTATCTAGAAACAGTCACGAGTTAAATTCATGAACAAAATTCAAACGGATAGAGATGTCAACTTAATAATAAAAATTTTTGAAAGAGATAAAAAAAAGATTACTAGAAGTAAACTTATATTTTAAAATAAAATTTTATTCTTTTAATTTACTTTCTATGAATATTTTTCTAATCAACTATTTAATAGAAAATCCCCAAAATTTAAAAGAAATTTAAATCACTAACATCAAATTAAATTATTTGTAGACAGTTTAGAGACATTCAAATTTATATCAAACATTATAATCTTTATGAACCCCCAAAATAACACTTTCAAAGTAAAACAAAATAACAGCGTCTGTTTCTAGCCTTTTTTTTTTTTTTTTTTTTTTTTTACAAAGAAAATTAGTGACACCTTCTCTCATGACTTCCTTCTCTCTTTTTCTCTCTATGGGTTTTTTCTCCTCTACCCCTTCGATATCAATATATAACTTCCGTTGTTAACCATTTAAATGTGTCAATGTCTGCTAACTCACTCGTGTCTTCTCTTTCCCCCCTCACTTCCTCACTTCATTAATTTACACATGTTTAATACGGCCCGTTAAAAATGTGTAAATTTCTTTTCATTTTTTGTTTCAACATTTGGAAGTAAAGTCTGATAATCCGCAGTCCTTTAAAAGGGCTGTGGTGAAATAATTTATTACATGGAACCTTAAAGTGGTCTGTTTATTTAAATTATTTGCTCTGGATTTACGTTGAGCTCTCTGGATTTTATCCTCCTTAGGTTTACCCATACGGATTACCTAGTTTTTCATAAACTATATATATATATATATATATATATATGTGTGTGTGTGTGTGTGTGTGTGTGTGTGTGTGTGTGTGTGTGTGTGAGGTAGAGAAGCAATAGCACTTACTTTTTGGTCAAATCACTTTGTATGCGTTTGCAATGATCTTCAGACATTCCAGAAAACAGCATCAGCACCATTAACTTTGGAGCCTGTCCAAAAATAAAAACAGCTTTGAGTTAAAAGAAAAAAGAAAGTTGTTATCCAGTGACTGGTTAATTCAGACTATAATATCATTGGTGTGCCACATAAAAGCAATCATCATTATGTGGCATGCTAGTGACAACACCTTTGTCAATATATTTATAAATAAGTTTACAGTGAGAAATGAATTCCTGCCTTTATCAAGGGAGTTAGTTCAGAGCTTGCTTGTCCAATTCCATGTTCGATATCAACGATCATTCCATGACCAAATCCCTGTAAATATAGTCAAATGAAATACTTACAAAATGCAACAATTGATCCAGATGGAAAGGGTTGAATGTGCTTCCTTTACTGGCCACACACACTCGTTCAAGTTTTGGACATTTCCCCAAGGACCAGAAAAAGTTTTCATTTAAGACCATGTTTGGTTGCTCTATCCTGAAATAAGAGATAATTACATTTGGAAATTGACCCATTTGACTAAAAATCAACACATATCTCAAACACAATGTGCATCCATAACTTTTGCCTTAATTTTTTCAGGTGAGGAATTATCGTTCTTGTACACTAATTTACTCAGATGAATATCCTCATCTTTGTTATAAATTCAAACCCCGGGTCAAGTTATGCAATGTTGATTGATCAATTTGTTTTTTTTTTTTTTTACAGCTTATCAACCTTTTGTGAGTTATTTAAAGTTGAAACATATTTTGGATCCTAAGAAGAATTCTTTTTTGTTAGTGAATAATGCATTAACAATGTTTTGGGAACAACAATGATTTTTTTGTCTAGATATTATTTAACCCATAAATGGGGGTTGACATGAACTCATACTTTTCCCAAGAGTATTTTTGAGTAAGTATGGGTCATGCAAAAGACGTATAGGTCCCAGTTTAGTGGAAAGGATAAGCACCATTACTCACTGGAATGAAAGATCGATTCGCATAGGCAGAGAATTGAAAACAATCTAACCAAATGGGTTCAGTTTGAAAATTTCAAAATATGACACACACCTTAAGACCAGGGGGGGTACAATTATTGAAATATTCTGACTATAACAACTAAAATAAGGATATTAGTCTGAGTAAATCAAGGTATAATAATCTTGAATGTGATTATTTATTGTGTATGTGTGCAACATTTTCGGAGTACACAGATACAACACTGATCCTATGCAGATTCAGATGAACATAACTATCATTTTTACAGATAGTATGCTAGTGATTTTTATTCTTTTGAAAAAACAATACAAGAAAAAAGAAAAATCTGGCTCATCTATGCATCTCAGATATTTTAAGGACAATTTCAGTTTAACATTTTCAAATGAATACATATTACATGTCTCTTTTCAGTATATAGTTAGACCATAGATTTTATAATATTATGCTACACTGAGGAAGGCTTACTCAGCAATTAGTTTCTATATATTGTTATACTTTGTATATGTAGTAGAATAAAAAGTTAACCTGCAACAAATTCCAGTTCAAGGGAGAATCAGTTACAAAGACCAATTATGCAAGAACAGAATGACACTTTATTCAAATCTATTTAAAAGAAGTAATCACTTACAGGGACCAGAATATGTTACCTGTTTAAACAGAATCTACTGTGGAAAAATCTGTCCATTTATAGATTTTGTAGAGACCAAGAAAAAAAACTCATATTTCTCAAAACTTTTGCCTGAAATAATACAGTTTGATTTGTTTTGTTTTACGGCATATCAACCTCAATTAGTTATTTAATGCCAACAGGATTTTTATTGCTGGTAATATTTTTTTCCTTCAAAAAATGTATTGCTGGTAATATTTTTTTCCTTCAAAAAATGTATTGCTGGTAATAATGCATTGAGGTAATAATTCTTTTCTTCTAAGATTTATTTCTGGTATTAAAACCTATTTTTATACTTTCATAGTGTTTTGACCCCAGTTTGGGGCGGGGGTTAACTACATACATGCAGAAATGCAAAAAGCATTAAACTCGTTAAGGTTGGCAGGTGCAAGACAAGCAGTTATCATTATTTACATTATTCATATTTGGAATATCGTCCTCATCTTTGTTACTGTTATCACAATGTTTCAGGCATTGTACTCTCTGTACTTCATCAATCTGGGTAACCTACAGTAAAGTCTGAACTGAACCCTTTATTTAATCTACCAAGGTAGTCTATTCTTATTCCACTGCCCAAGTCTAGGGATATCTTATCTAGTTCTTATTTTTAATACTGCTCAATTATTGCTCACCTGTTTCTACAGAGTTCAGTTCCAAGGATAGAACTTGCAATTATTATGACATTCAGGAATCAACACTTTAATCCATTAGGCTATTGTTTCATTTTTATTCAGAATTCCAAAATAATTAAATTTGCAAGAGTCTTACCCTTAAAATTCCTGGATTAATCTTGGATTGCATCATTCAAGTCCATTCTAGGTCAGAAATAGTTATATCATTATCAAAGATCAACTATAAAAGCTGGAATTATGAGTGCTGGTTTTCTAAAATATCAAATCCTTTTGACCATTTGGAAAACAAATACAATCTTCCTTCTTTCATTTGGCCTTGTTTAATATTAAGCTAAATTTCAATATCAACTCTTTTGTACTGTTTTGGGGGTTGGGTTGATAATTATTTCAGTCACCATACATTTAGATAGCTTCCCCTCTCTAAACAGCCAGAGTGTTTGGATAACCCAAAAACAGCCAGGTATTTGAATAACATTAAATTATTATTTTAGGTTACTCAAAATCCTAGATTTTTACTTTCCCTTAACAAACATGGCTCAGTTGAGAAAACATTCAACTAAAAGCTCAAATGTTTTTCATTCAATTTCAAACATTGGCACTGACAGTAAATACTATTTTGTGTAAACATCTTCATTAAAAAAAATCCTTGTTGTTGCTTCTAGGTTCAAAATGTTAACCTCACTCCTACTAAGTTTAAACCTACTTTCCCAATTCCTCCCACTATGATCAAAATGTGACCAGCTTCCTCCCACTGTGATCAAAATGTGACCAGCTTCCTCCCACTGTGATCAAAATGTGACCAGCTTCCTCCCACTGTGATCAAAATGTGACCAGCTTCCTCCCACTGTGATCAAAATGTGACCAGCTTCCTCCCACTGTGATCAAAATGTGACCAGCTTCCTCCCACTGTGATCAAAATGTGACCAGCTTCCTCCCACTGTGATCAAAATGTGACCAGCTTCCTCCCAACTAACTATGCTCAAAAGTAACTGTCCCACTTCTGAAACTAATTATGCTTAAAAGTCCTTCAACTGTGCCGACCAAAACATTATTACATTGAGGTACAAAAAGTTGGCTGCAGTTTTATTCTACAAATAATTGCTGGGATGCAGTTCTACAAAAAGATATTAAGAACTTCACACTTATATTTAGAATAAAAAAAGAGACAGTTGAAATTTAAGGGACACATAATGAGAAAAGAGGGCTTGGAGAATTTGAAACACACAGAACATATTTAAGGCAAGTGAAACAGAAGGAAACAGCAAGTAACCTACCTAATAGGTTTGTGTCAGTGTATAGCAGAACAGGGACTGGGAGGGATAGCAAAGAAATAAACATTGCTTAAAGCTACAAAGGATAGGAAGTTGTGGAGAGCCCTGATCGCCCATATGCTGAAGGAACACCATATATATTAGTAGTTTCAATGGGGTGAGTAACCAATGAGTAATTCTTAAAGAAAATGGCAACAAAAAGAACACTTAGAATCAGAAAGAGTGAACTGACATTTCTGGGACACATAATGAGGAAAGAAGGCTTGGAGATTCTAACACTCACAAGACATATTGAAGGCAAGTGAGACAGAAGGAAATTGTGAGTAACCTATCTGATGAGCTTGTGTAAATGGACAAGAGAAGAGGGACTGGGAAGGATAGGAAAACAACAAACAAATACAAAATTGTGGAGAGCCATGACTGGACACATCTTAAAAGGAACATGGCACAAAAGTCAGATCTCTATTAATTTTATTCATTCTATTATTCTAAATTCTGCATAGGTGAAAACTGATTACTTACCTGAAATCTTTAAGTGACTTGCAATAAGTCAAGGCTGTACATAGACTGGCCAGGTACGTACAATGACCAGTTAAACCAAGTTGTGCCAAATGTAACGTTTCTAATTGTTGACAGTGTTTACAAATGGAAATAAGATACGTTCCAAGACGGATTTCTGAAAATAGAAATAGTGCATGCAAAGTAAATAAAATGAAGGTAATTTATATGTGGAATTAACATTATAGAGATGCACGCCCAAAGACAGGTGTATGATTTATGCAGAGCTAAGAAAAACTTTAGCACTTAATATGAAAAAAATAAATTTATGCAAGAATTATCACAAACCTGGGATGCCTGTTAACTGAAGGTAACGCAAATTTTTCCAGTAACTTATCCATACCAGTTGGCTTTCACGTAATTGCCGAGAAGATTCACTGTGTAAAGAAACAAAAGACAAAATTAATTCTATGAACATAGAGAATACTGTTTTAAAAAATGCTTCACAGACAAAAACATTAAGGGATTTTACTGAGACAAAAATCAGGCTTTTTTTATAAAATATTAAAATAAGTGTTAAGTGCTGATTTAAAATTTAAATGCAAGTAAACACTATTCATTTGACCCCCACCTTTTAAACCCTCCATTAATCTGCACAAGAATAATTTCAAATTTAACAAGTAGTTACACTGTTAATGTTTTAGTGACACAAGTAGAAGCATTAGATGTTATTGTAAACTTTAAAAAGCACAGTCAAAGTGGGCCAATTTGTTTCTCTAGGTTTAACTTATATTTAACCTTTAGCAGTGCATTATTCAAGAGTATTACTACACTGTCCATTGCCTATGACAGTTGTTGTTACCATAGCAGGATATGACATCACAATCACAAAATTTGCCTGTTGTCATAGGACAAACTTTTTGCTTGAGAAATAGAGTTGCCTACAGCATGCTAATGGTTTAAACATAATTTTTCATTCCAAAAAATAGACAAAGATTTTTTTTTTTCAGTTGATGTGTGAAGGGAAAATTTTATATCATAACAGATAAATAAAAAATGAAATTTTAACATCAACTGAAGTGATAGCTAGGTATAATGGCTTGGAATTGTTAATCATAGAGACAAGTTCCAATTCCCATGGAGTTCGTTATATTCACATATGTAGAAATACCCTTGGGAAAGGCATGAATCCACCTCTTCTCCCCCAGCTCTGGGTTAATTAGTAAAACTTGTATTACTAATTATAGTAGCTCAGACATCCATGAGTCTATATGGCCCAGGCTTTAGCTATGCAAATTTTCACATACTTTTCAGTAGAATATATTTCGCTTCCTAGTTATATAAAATATTCAATAGATTTTATTGATGCACCTGAGACAGTTTGTACTGAGTCTTGCTGGTTGAAACTTATGAATTCAATTTTAGAGGCATTGACAGAGTCCAACATCATTGGCAGCATTTTCTAGATGATGTAGGAGAACTGTGGCATTGGTAATGGTGTCTGCAGTGATAATTAGGTCATAACTGTCAACTTTTTTATTAGGAGACTTGAGGGTCTTGGTAATAAATTAAAACCTAGATGATGTTTGTTGAAATTCTCAAGACGCAGCCAAGGGTGATAATGAAGAAAAAGGTGCAGGAGTGTCACCTTGGAGGACTGTTGCTTTGATGTCAAAGAAATTAGTGTCTTCATTCTGGGGATCGAATCAAAGATTTGGTATTTTTGTATAGAATCCTTATGGTTGTTATTGTCTCAGGGGGACGGTGTCATATGCCAGAAGAATCTTTTCCATTTTTCCCCTATGTACAGAATCGAAGACTTTAGAGAAATCTATAAAAAGTATGTCAGCCTGTAGATTCTTTGCCCTGAGGCTCTCAATAATCCAACAAACAATCAGGATTTGTCCAACGATTGATCTATTTTTTTTTAAAAAGCCATTTCGATTTTTTTCAGGTCACCTTTTCTACTTCCAGCTGTATCCTGTTGAGAAGCATTGTAACTTTTTGCTGCAATGGCAGTAAGTATGATTCCTCTATAGTTTTTTTGCTGATCCTAGATCTCCTTTCTTTAGGGAACTATGCAGCCCTCTGTCTATCTTTCTAAGACTTTTCTATTAAATGTGGTGTTAAAGAGTTGGAAAAAAATATTGTTGAAATCCAGAGTTCTCCAAATTTCTTATTTTTAGTGTTTTTTAAAGCCATTTTAAGTAAAGTATAGATAAATGTGAACAGAGAGAGAGAGAGAGAAAGAGAGAATTAAAAAAATAAAAGAGAGGAATGTTATTCAACTGACTTGTTTCCTCTTTTTTTGTTTTAAATAGTTAAAAAAAAAAAAAAATTATCTGCATTTCTCAAAAAGCATAAACGTTGGTGGAGTAATATAATTTAGCAGCTGTTGGCACCATGACTGAGTCAGAGAAAAAAAAAAGAGATTCTAACACAATGAACATTGATTTTGTTTCTCATGTTAAAAAAAAAAATATATATATATATATATATATATATATGCATGTTTCATTAAAAACGACAGACAAGGTACTACAGTTGAGTTTTTTATTTAATTTTTCTTGTGTTCTATGACCATAATGGCAATATTTATACCCAAACTAATGGTGTTAGTATGGGAAATCCATTGGGTCCATGCTTCTCTAACTATTATATGTCCCACGAGAAAATACCATATTTACACAGGTCCACAAACCGAAAATCTATGTTCGCTACGAGATGATATATTCATTTTAGCTGATAACATTAAAGAAATAGAGACACTTAAGACCACATTTGAGAAAAACTCCGTCCTTAATTTTACATATGAACTTAGCCAAAAAACAAACTACCATTCTTAGATATCCTCGTTGAACATAACAATAACACTTTCATTACATCATTATACAAAAACCCACCAGCAAAAACTCGTGCCACCTTAATTTCAAAAGCGAATGTCCACTTAGGTACAAAATAGCTGTAATAAAAAACTTTCTAAATAGAGCCCACCAGAACTCATCCTCTCGACTACTCTTTTCTCAAAGAACTTAACAACGTTAAACAAACACTAATTAACAACGGTTTCCCTAACTACCTTATAGACCAACAAATTAGAATATTCCTCCCCAAAGCAAGTAATAATGATATTAACACACAACTAAAAATCACATACACATTTATTACAAAAACCAAATGCATATTAATTACAAGCAAGATGAATCTGCTCTAAGACATATTATAAAGAAATATACTACTCCTATTGACCCGGATAAAAAAATCAAACTTATTATCTATTATAAAAAAAATTTAAGACGGCCAACCTTATCCTCAAAAATAACAAACACACCAACGAAGTCAAAAATTACAAAGAGCGAACATTATCTATGAGTTCAAATGCCCTTTAAGGAACTGCGTTCCTCACCAAACCGGACTCATAAATAATTACATCGGCTACACAACCACATGTTTATCCAGACGTCTTACATTACACCTATCTGATCACAGTTCCATCAGAACACATTTAAACACACACTCAGATTTACCCGACACTATTAGGAACATACTAGTAGAAAACACTAATATATTAACTGCATCCACTTGCAAAAAAAAAGACTAAAAATAATGGAAGCTCTAATAATAAAAAAGAAAAAGCCAACTCTTAACAATATCAATTATGAACAAAGCCACAATGTGCTAACTGTATTCGAAAACTAAAACATCACTACCACACACTGAACATACATAGAACACACACTCTACTTGATAATGAATATCCATCATTGAACCATCCTTGATAATGGCTAAAAGTATAGCCGAAAGCGCTCGAAAAAACAGAACATTCGGACAGTTCTTACACACTCTTTGTCCAGAAAAGAAAGCTCTTGTCAGAACACAAGAAAAAATTAAATAAAAAGCTCAACTGTAGTACCTTGTCTGTCGTTTTTAACGAAACATGCATAAAGGAAGGATTGCTGCCTAATTATACAAATATATATATATATATATATATTGGTGCAAGTCTGTCTCTCTCTCTCAGGAATTTATTTAGGAATATTAATGCTCAGTCATTTGATATAACATTGAGCTTTTTCCCTCTGGTATGCTCTTGTGAGTAGTTGTGTATATATATATATATATATATATATATATATATATATATATATATATATATATATATATGGGGGGAATGTATGTTGAGAGGTGGTGAGAAACAAAGGACAAGAGTCCATAAAGCCAGGTAAGAAGTTTAGGGAGTAGCAATGCGATTCACCTGAAATATATATTGTGAATAGCGTGGCCTGGCAAATATAACCTCTAGTTCCTGTAATTGAACTATTAGAATTTGGTGATTGGCCTTACGCCCAACCTCTGTACTTTGAGGACGGATTGGTTTTATATCAGGATTTCCTTTCCCTTATTTGACCACATGTACTCACATGAATGGATCCAATCAACTTGGGTTTGGGAATTTAGAGGTTTCCTTTTTCTAGACTGATTACCAATCAAGGCTGATGAGCACAGTTGGCTCTACTATTTGACACATAGTGGAGTGAGAAGAGATGGTTTGTACCATTCCAAAGAGTAGTTGTATGAAACTGAATATAACCAACTTGGCTGGAAATTAAACTTGATTCGCTGATTTCTCATTCAGAGCCAAAGACCATTACACCACCTGCACACCCTTTCACACTGCAAATAAGCCCAATGTCATTCCAATATCACTCAACAGTATTTATTTATAGACAACCAAGATCATACTTCAGGCTCTCTAGAAACAATTTTGTAAAATGTTTTTTATTTTTATCTTTGATAAATTTTTACCAAATTATTATTATCCAATGAGGAGGCACGATGGAGTAATGGATAGCGGCTCTGATTGAGGAATCAGAGGATTGAAGTTGAATTCCAGTCAAATCCATTACATTAACTTACATGCCCATATCCTTGGGAAAGGTATGAATCCTCCTCTTCTTCCCCCAGCTTTGAGTAAATAGTAAGACAGACTGTGTTCTATAGCCTTGGGTATCAACTGGTCTAGGAGAAGGACAACTTTGAATTCAAAACCTGATCCTCCAGGTTGGGGGTTGTGCAGTAGGCTAACAACCTACTCACTTAAAAAAACTAAACTTGTTAAAAGAAACCACAATGATATCTTGCAGCCCTATGTTCCTCAAGAAATTTAAAAGGCATTATATATATATATATATATATATATATATATATATATATATATATATATATATATATATGGAATGGAACAAAATTATGAATTTATATGCTATTAAAACTCAGTAAATTTCAAAATAAGTTATTCCAAAATTCGCTTGAGATGAAACAGAATTAATGCTTTTGATTTAATTATATAATTGAATTTGAAGTTTTTAGTTTCTGATTTTGAAACATGGTAAATCCTGTGTAGCGATGGAACCATATTTTTAAATCAGTTAATTTATAATATTTATGCTCTGTAAATTTACATTGAGCACTGTTTTGTAAAAAAAAATATCAATAAGAACAACAGATTATATATCTTACTGTCCTTTTTTTTTTATATATATATATATATATATATATATATATATATATATATATATATATATATATATTATCCAATATAGGTTTAAAAAAATTTCAAAACTCTTGATACCAGTTTTTCTTGTTAGGTTGTCCAAAATATTATAATCACTTAAAAATACCAAGTCTGCTACTGCTGACTAAACTTATTGAGTAACAGTAGGTGGGCAATAAAAATGTTAAGTTTAAGGTTCCAATTTCTAGACTCAGGATTGTCCTACAATACAATAGCCTAGTGGATTAAAGTGCGAATATGGTGATATAATAATTGTGAGCTCAATCTTTGGACCAGGCAGTACAGACTAACTGCAAAAACAGTAAGCAGTAATTGAGCGTTTGTTAATGACTTATTTTCCACCCTACAGACTTTTTCACATTCACAAAGAAGCAGCATCACAAGCCTATCACTATTCTATTGCTATTTCCATGGCAAAGGTTCAGATGAATTCCATTCTTTAATACCACAAGTTCAGACCTTTACAGCTATGAGCAAATTTGTTACATCCACAGGCTTAAATCAACTTCATTTCCTTTGTATTTCATTGGTAAGAAAGAAGTTCCACTCAGACAGCTTCCTCCTAAGAAGCGCTACTCTGTGGAATTGACTTGCACAATTTCAGTCTCTTCAATTCTGTAGTCAATCATCTTCACTTCCTCTTCTTACATTGATATCACACACATCGTTCCCTCTACCTTAAGTGGTTCCTGAACTTTGTATTAAGCAACCATTAAAAAAAAAAGAATAAGAAATGCAATATCCCTAGACATGAACAGCAAAACTGTAACTGTCCTTATAGATTAAATACAGACTTCATTTCAAAAATTCCCTGAAGGTTATTTAGATCAACAGACACCTGAAGAAGGTTAACTGGTTGAAACATTGTGATATAAACAAAAATGTGTCTGAATGTAAATAACAAACTTATTGTTCTTACAAAATCTCCATTTCATAGTCAGCCATATTGCTGTTCTTCCAATGTTCAAGAATAGTTTGAAGAGCAGTTTCTTGCAAAAACAACAAAGCAAACAAATTTTTTTTTTGTTTCCAAGACAAAGCCAACTTAACCATATGACGGCAAGTAATATAAAATCCTGGTGTGTTAGTTTTAAATGTTGATCCATAATCAGTATATAGATTGTAGTCCAAAATATATGCTCTTACCCTAGGAGCAAGATCTGGGTTGCCCAATGTAAATGTAAATCCAGCATAAAAAAAATGAATAATGCCTTCATTGGAATATAAACAAAAAAAAAAAAAAAAAAAAAAAAAAAAAAAGGAAAAAAGAAAAAAATACCATCATAAAATACTAAGAGAAGGAAAAACGTACCATGCATAAAAATTCTGTTCTCTCACACACATACCAAGAGCTCGGTGGAAGACAGAATGGAAATTGGGAGTGATTAGTTCAAACTGTTCCATATTTGGGCAGCCTTTGATTAAAGTTTCAAGATCTTGGCAGCTGGAATGCAATTCTCCACTTAGGGACACAGGGTCACCAGGATATGTCCCCATTTCAGGCTGTCGTTCCACTGGCTATAAGAATAAAAATGTTACAAGCTTAAAAAATAAAATAGAATAAATACACAACAAAAATAAAGTTCCTGATAAAAGAGAAATATGTAAAAGACATCACAGTTAGTACTGGGATACCAGTCAATGGATATAATAACCGTTTTGCTGCAAATACCACAAAGGAAGGCAGAAATGGAGAAGAGTGGATTACTCATTACTCACCAACATGTGTCATTACATGGAATATCTATGATGAGTCAAGACAACAGAACAGAAGAATAGCTGGCTTTATGTCTTTTCCAAGAGCATGAGTACAAAAGTAACAATTTAATCAAAAATCAAAGTCACTTTATCAATTGTTTTCCCAAGCTGATAACATTATTAATATGGAAAGTACATTTATAAATATTTTTATACAAATCAGTATTTCAATTCTTAACAGTAACAATAGAATTATTAATAGACAAAATTTAAATAATGTTTCTTTTTTCTTCTGCCATGCACAAGCAAATAGATATAAAATTGGCAATTGAATCCCAATTCAAATGTGTCTTTGAGGTAAGCATGCAAATACCATATCCTCAATGCCAATATTCTACTTGCTTCAAAGCTGAGTCAAATCATACTGACAAACACTGGTTCCATTTTGATCACCAAATTGGCATCAAGCCCACTCAATAATTGGATGGGGGTACTACTTGGCAACACCAGATACTGTATTCAATCTCTTACGATCCAAAATATATTTTGGTTTTAAATAACATACAATGGGTTGATAAGCTTTAAAAAATACATATCAATTAGTTGCTTGAAAAGCCCACTAACTTTTTTAGTATTAATTTAGGCAAAGAGCCTAAACGTGACACTGATCCTGGGCTGAGAAGTAACACTTTGCTCTCAGGTAAAGTGCACTGATACTCTAATTCATAATCCCATCATTTTTAACAGACACTATGCTAGTATTAAAAAACAAAAAAAAATACACACATTTTATATATATATATATATATATATATAAAGAAATGTTTTGTTGTACAGTTTAGACATTCTGTCTACTTATTTTTGATAAGATCCTTTCATACTTGCAGATAAGTTTTTTGATGTCATTACTGAAAAGTAAGAGAAGTGCTGTGTTTATACATATTTGTTTTATTACCAAGTACTTTCGACATAAAACATGTCATCATCAGGGTACTGTTTATAATAAAATAAATATTATAGTATCCATTAGTATCAGAGTAAAAATTGTTGTGTTATCTGAAAGTTAAATTTCTTACAAATGGAGTGAGGAATGCTGTGTGCTGAAACCGTTTAAAGGGAGGTACACAAGCATGGTCTGAAGAGTTTTTTTTACAAAAAAGTAAAAAGAGAAACTGTTATAGTAAACCTTGATATTTCAACCTATTATACACATTTTAAAATATTTGTAAAGTATTTCTAATTAATTTTATTAAGTTTTGTTTTTAATTTTTTTATACAGATAGCTTCAAAAATTTTTAGTTTATGTTTATTCTTTTCATGTATAGAGGTATTTTCAATGAGAATTTTTCTGAATTGCAAATGTGGACATGTATGTATGTTTATAAATGTTAGACATATTATTCAAATGAAAACTTAGCTAAGACAACGTTGTTGTAGTGTGTCCAACATAAATATTATTTTTACCATAGGAGATTTTATATATATATATATATATATATATAAAATAGAGCAAATGAAAAGTAAATTTCATTTTCTTTGTTTATAATGTACTGACACTGACCAAAGTTTGATTTACTTCCATCCAAGATATTCTCCTCATTTTGAAAGGTGGTACCAGTCTGACATCAATTGGTTTGTCATTGGCTTTTGAATGTTTATGGACCACTGCACAGGAAGACAAAGACAGTGATTTCAAACCTGAAAGGAAATTGATAAAAAAATTAATTCAAATATTTTTAACTAATTTACTTGTATTTTTGATACTAAAAACAAAATTTTATCAGAAAATTATTATCAATTTATCTCCAAGCTAATGATCTGACAGCTAAAAAAAATTAATTACATTCTTTTATTTGTCAAGTTTGAAAAAACAAGTTCAGTTTCTACATCAGATTTCAATAAACACTGACGGGTAATTCTAGTGACATATAGAAGACGCAGAAAGATATTGTATATATATATATATATATTATATATATATATATATATATATGGATAGGTAGAGAGAGAGGGTGTGTGGCAATCCGATTATAAATTTAAAAAAAGAAAAAGTGAAGATTGATTTAAAAAGTATGCATCTAGTTGTCTCCCTTGGAAAAAAATATACGAGTTAACTCCCTTATGCAAAATCCACGCACATCCAAACAGCACATTGTGTCACACATTACAGAACATAAAAAGATGATTGAATTCAGATAATGACAGGCAATAATGAGCCACTATAAAATCACCCTAATCTCTAAACTTAACCATAGTTATTTCTCTGAAAAAGGGTTGCTTTAAAGTCCCTGACTAATATCAAACTACAAACATTACAGCTTTCATAAGATCTCAAACTATGTTCTGTATCTCTCTTTTGATGATCAAGGCTCTCCACAGTTTCCTGTCTTTTGCTGCCCTACTGTTGTAGCTTTTCTGCCAGACTAAACTAAGTCTAAAACTATAAAAACCTGCTTCTAACGGAGAAATTTGCATATTTCTTTACCAGTGCCATAACTCATTTTAAAAAATCAAGATTTCAAATGCTGATTTTTTTAAAGTAGGCAGGTCCTTCCTATTTGAGATACTGGTGCAATACAATCTTTCTGCTCCATATTTTCCCTCCAATTTATACTTGTGCTGTATTAACCCGAATAAATATTTTCTTTACTATTTGACAATCTTAACTGATGAATACATTTTTGCAACAGGATGCAAAAGTGCATCTTGTGGCACTGTAGAGAAAAAGGGAAAAGATTAACATAATCTAGTGCAAAAAATGCACAATGGCTCTAGAATTTAATAAATTTAAATTCATTTAACAAAATATAATCTAATAGAAAAATTGTTAATAGAAGCTAATTGTCCTGCTGATCTTTCCTCTCTGCTTAAATTCATGAAGTTTAGGTACCAAAGTACAAGGTCACATCATTTATACAGCTGAAATGGCTGGATGTAACTAAGTTTTATGCTAACAGTTTCTTTTCTCGCATTTCTCACTTATGAAACTCTTTCCCTGCTTCCAGTCAATTCCAATCTTCAAAAAGATCAGGCAGTTAGGTTAGGTTTAAGACTCCAAATTCTTACAAGGAATTATCCTACAGAACAATAATCCAGTGGATTAAAGTGCTCGTTTATAAATTTGGTATATTAGCAATTGTGAGTTCAATCCCTGGACTGGGCACTGTGTACTTGAAATAAGAAGCAATAATATAAGCTAAATGTAAGAACTACGCAAGATATCTCTAGAAGAGAACAGTCCTGCCCTATAGATTAATTATAGAATTCGTTTCAGAATTCCCTGTAGGTTACCTGGATATACCAGGGGGCATAACAACTGAAACGTGATAACAACAAAGATGAGGACAACAGTCTGCATTTAAATAGTGTAAATAATAATAACTCCTCATCCCAGAAAATTCAAACAGAAATAAATATATATATATATATATATATATATATATATATATATATACACGCACACAAATTCCCAAGAGGATAGAATCCAGGTAGAACTCAATGGTTCAGGACAGAGTAAGAATTTTTTTTTTTAAATTTGTATTCTTTTTAATTTGTTTTTTTATTTTTAATTTGTAGGTCTGATAATTTGGATTGTGATTACAATTCCAATGTAATAAATTATAACCATGGAATATTAGTATTTGAGCCTTATATATATATATATATATATGCATGCATACACACAGGTAAAAATCCATAGGTAAGTAATCCAAGTGAATCCTATTAATATAAAATATGAAAACCGATCCACAAAATATTTATTATAGAGCATAGAAATGAATTAGATAAAAATGAAACTCAATTGTACCCGATGTTTATGGCCATTTTGCTCCTTGGGATAAATTCCCTGGAGCTTGTCAATACTAAAACGTTTGATAATATAGTGGGATAGATGAGTCAGTCTACAAAACTGGAGTCAGAATGTTGAAGGTAACCTCAATCAGTTAAGTGAGAAACCTTTTACTTTATATATATATATATATATATATATATATATATATATATATATATATATATATATATATATATATATATAATGGCAAAAACGTAATTAAATCTATTTTCAATGAAACAATTTCCATTTGTCAAATTTCTTTATATATATATATATATATATATATATATATATGATAGCTAGCCACTAATATCCAAGGATACCTGTCTGCTAGAGAAGCCTGCTCAGGGACATTTGTGATTGTACAATACCCACAGAACCCACTTGTGGATTAGACCTCAGTTACAGTTTCTGGGAAAGAGTGTGTTATCTACTTTGATCAACAGTCTGAACAAGGCCAGTGCACTCAAACCCTCGGTCACAATGACTTTTGACTTTGTACCACCACCAACAGCTCCCAAAGGGCTCAGTCTACCCAACTTCACTCAACCTGTGGTATGGTTTTCAGACACTTTCCAAAGGTGGCATACGCTGGGATCGACTCTTCCAGACTGATAACATTAAGAAGTCGCCTTCCTGACAAATTGAACATGGTGAGATTCGAACCAGGGTCTCATGGTCAGAAAGTGAACATTTTATATATATATATATATATATATATATATATATAAATAAAAAGTGTGTTCCAATAACTTGGACTGATTTTAAATGTGAATTAAGTTCTAATGATTTTTTTTCTTTTTCTTTCAGATTATATAAGCCTTTAGCGATTTTAACCATGGAAAGATTAACAATCAAACAACGTGCTAAAGTTTCAAGAGTTCAATTGGAAAAATTGTTTGGAAATTCAAACTCAGTCACTGGCAGATGTGAAAACACCACTTTGTGCTTGTTAATGCCGTGTGGCTGAAAACATTGTTGCTGTGCATGAGAATGTGGCCACAAATCCAGACACCTCTATTTATCATCGCATGCAGGAATTGAATCTCTCCATAACAACATTACATTGTTTCCAATTGCACTGTTGGTCAATTATGTTGACCAAAAAAAAAAAAAAAAAAAAAATCACAAAGTATGCGAAATGCATTTCCATTTGAATGTCCATTTTTGTAATAGGCTTCGATAACTTTAACATTATTTCATGTTATTAGAACAACCTTTATATATATTACATAGTGTGACAAAAATACTTTCCACATAATGGAAAGCTAGATTAGCTTTAGAACACCATTGCCACTAATGTCTTACCATGATGTTGGAGGTGTTTCTACTGCACCATGTAAATTGACAACTATGATTTATTTGTGGGGAGTTTTTTTTTAGTAGAAATGCTGCAATCATCTTGGCATCAAAAAAAAAAAAAAAAAGAAAAAAAAGATTCTAGCAAATATTCATTTCAGTATGAGTTAAATTATAAACCCGAAATATTTTTGAAAAAATTCTAATTGCATTTTTTTTTTTAATTTTATTTCAGAAAGGTAATGGAACAGAAGCTACAGAAATAATATACAATCTTGAAGTACATTACTGAAAAACAAATTATTGATTTTCAAATGTCTGCAGAAGAAGCATCTGTGAGCGCAGAGGCAGGCAGGCAATGGCGGAGGCAATTCAAGATGCTTTTTACTTATAACAGATTAACTGCTGTCCTTTCCTACAAAAGCCACCAGCTGTTACAATCCTGAAGATTAGTCTGTACACATTGGATCAATACACGACACAGTGCAACATGTTTTCTCATCTACTTCTGTTTTTGCAAACAGCATTTTATAAACATAATTACAGTGAAATATCCTTTATCTAAAAAGGGACCATTGATTTTCTACTATTTAATTATCTTTTCTTTTTGTCTAGAGGTTCTTGATAGAAAAGATCAACAAATAGAGTAACAAAAAAAAAACACATTTGGAAATAGATGTAAGATGGCTTCACTTGAAATTTATTGACCAATTATTATCATTGTGACAATGAATTTTGTTTACGCTGAAATGCTAATCATTAAATTTATCTGTTTTAATGGATGACCATCGATATTTATTAATGACAATCAAAGATTGGAAAACATAAAAAATATCATTGTTCACAGAGTTTACAAATTATCACTGGATCAACAGTAAACAAAAATGTGGCTCCATTTATTTTTATCTAAGAGAATAAAAAAGGTTTTGCTCAACTTCTGAGAATAATTTATAAAGATGAGTCTCTTTCCCAAACTCATTAAAAAAGGTGTCTTTCTCTCTCCGAGCGTCATTAAAAAAGGTGTCTTTCTCTCTCCGAGCGTCATTAAAAAAGGTGTCTTTCTCTCTCCGAGCGTCATTAAAAAAGGTGTCTTTCTCTCTCCGAGCGTCATTAAAAAAGGTGTCTCTCTCTCTAAGCATCATCCAAAAATGGAGTCTCTCTCTCTCTAAGCATCATCCAAAAATGGAGTCTCTCTCTCTCTCTAAGCATCATCCAAAAATGGAGTCTCTCTCTCTAAGCATCATCTAAAAATGGAGTCTCTCTCTCTAAGCATCATCCAAAAATGGAGTCTCTCTCTCTCTCTCTAAGCATCATCCTACAATGGAGTCTCTCTCTCTCTCTAAGCATCATCCTACAATGGAGTCTCTCTCTCTCTAAGCATCATCCAAAAATGGAGTCTCTCTCTCTCTCTAAGCATCATCCAAAAATGGAGTCTCTCTCTCTCTCTCTCTAAGCATCATCCAAAAATGGAGTCTCTCTCTCTCTATCTATTAAAAAGGTCTCTCTCTCTCTCTATCTTTTAAAAACGTCTCTCTATATATCTTTTAAAAACGTCTCTCTCTCTCTATCTTTTAAAAACGTCTCTCTCTCTCTATCTTTTAAAAACGTCTCTCTCTCTCTCTCTCTATCTTTTAAAAAGGTCTCTCTCTCTCTCTCTATCTTTTAAAAAGGTCTCTCTCTCTCTCTCTATCTTTTAAAAAGGTCTCTCTCTCTCTCTCTCCCTCTCTCTATCTTTTAAAAAGGTCTCTATCTTTTAAAAAGGTCTCTCTATCTTTTAAAAAGGTCTCTCTATCTTTTAAAAAGGTCTCTCTATCTTTTAAAAAGGTCTCTCTCTATCTTTTAAAAAGGTCTCTCTCTATCTATCTTTTAAAAAGGTCTCTCTCTATCTATCTTTTAAAAAGGTCTCTCTCTATCTATCTTTTAAAAAGGTCTCTCTCTATCTTTTAAAAAGGTCTCTCTCTATCTATCTTTTAAAAAGGTCTCTCTCTCTCTCCAGCATCTTTTAAAAAGGTCTCTCTCTCTCTCTCCAGCATCCTTTAAAAAGGTCTCTCTCTCTCTCTCCAGCATCCTTTAAAAGGTCTCTCTCTCTCTCTCCAGCATTCTTTTAAAAGGTCTCTCTCTCTCTCTCCAGCATTCTTTAAAAGGTCTCTCTCTCTCTCTTTCCTTTTTAAAAGGTCTCTCTCTCTCCAGCATCTTTTAAAAAAGGTCTCTCTCTCTCCAGCATCTTTTAAAAAAGGTCTCTCTCTCTCTCTCCAGCATCTTTTAAAAAAGGTCTCTCTCTCTCTCTCCAGCATCTTTTAAAAAAGGTCTCTCTCTCTCTCTCCAGCATCTTTTAAAAAAGGTCTCTCTCTCTCTCTCCAGCATCTTTTAAAAAAGGTCTCTCTCTCTCTCCAGCATCTTTTAAAAAGGTCTCTCTCTCTCTCCAGCATCTTTTAAAAAGGTCTCTCTCTCTCCAGCATCTTTTAAAAAGGTCTGTCTCTCTCTCTCTCTCTCTCATCTTTTAAAAAGTTCTCACTTCAGGACACACGGCACAGTGGATAAAGGCATTGATTAGATCCTGTGACAGGACCCAAAGAGTGTGAGTTCAATACCCGGTTATGGCAGTGGAGAACTTGGAGAGGGGAATTAAGAGGAGATAACTGATAACTGACATCCATTAAACATGGCACACAGAACTAGAACAGTCTACCGCAGTGAGTGAAATAAAGGGTTCAGTTCAACATTCCAAGCAGGCCAGAGCATACAACGACCAAAATGTTGTAATAAATATGGCGACAAAGATGAGGACAATAGTCTGAATAATGTAAATAGTGTAAATATAAACCATAAAAACAGGTTTCAACATCCTTCGTTTGTTACTGTTTTTTGTTTATGAATTAACATTCTTTAAAACATATAAACCACGAATAATGTAAAGCATTCGACATTAATTTTTTTTTCTAGGCCATATCTTTTAAATTAAGACAAAAGACAGCATGTTGCATGACAAAAATTGAATGAATTTGAATGCAGTTTGAAGACGTGTATCAAATCAGTTTCACAATCAATCACTTTGAAATTTCTTTTAGGGAATTTCCAAGAAAATAATCCAAAGTTGAGGGGAAAGGAAAATTAATGAGTGATGTGTGTATAGGTGGAGTACAATATTACAGACAGACGTGAAAATAGTATAAACCAAATAAACCAACATTTCCAAAAAAAAAAAAAAAAAAGTTACACAACAGCTTTACTTACTAATAGATTTACCAGTATACTTTGACAGAATAAAATGTCCTTGCTTAGGAAATTGAATTGGGAGTAGAGAAAATCCAATATCTGACAGAGTGACTGAGCAATAAAAACATTGAAAGCCTGAATACTGGCAACATCAGTAATCGAAATGAATAGTAAAGTAACTGACCTGAGAGTTCAGCAAGAGCATCACAGATAGTTGTTTCATTATGGCGGAGATAATGGGAGTGAATTCCACTAAGATTCAGATGTGTCAGATGACGGCAGGAAGAGATCAATGCTTGGAGACCCTTCAGATCCTCATGAAGTGGGTATGTGTTTTTGCCCTGAATAGAAATAAAAAAAAAATTTACAAAATTTTAAAAAGAATTCTCTGATTAAGATTAGCCCAGCCTAGGACAAAAGAGAAGAAAACTGTTTCTCATAGTTTCTATCAGATTAACCATTTTTACAATTTATTATCTACCCAATGTATTTTACCAGAACTCATTTATTTGTTTGTTTATTTATTTATTTGGGTTAAATTATTTTGCTTGTCATTATTTATTTTTATTTCTTATCTTATATATTAATTTTTTTATTTTTATTTTAATTGATGTTTTTATTAATGTAGTAAAAATTTTTTTATATCACTTATTTAATCATTTTGTTTTAGTTTTGGAAGTTAAAGTTATTTATTCAATTTTGGGGTTGATTGTTGTAGTTTATTCTAACTATTATTTTGGTGGGAGCAGTTTTTAATTTGTTTATTACTTCATGTATTTATTTGGATTGATTATCTTTGTTTTTTCTAAAGGTTAATTTATTGGGATCAGTTTGTTAGTTTGTTTATTTATTTATTTGGATGAATTTAATTTACTTTACTTGTTTTTATTATTCATTATACTGTATATTTTTATTTACTCTTTTTGGTTTTCAATTTTTAAGTGACGTAGTATTTTTTTTTTATCATTATATAACAGTTATGGTTATGTTTTTCGTTTGAATTTTGGTTTGATTTTTATAGTCTAACTAATATTTTGGTCATAATGGTTTGTTAATTTGTTTATTATTTACTTTATTTATTTAGGTTCAATGATTATGTTTCTTATTTTTTTATTTATTTATTCTATTTCATCTATTCTAATAGATGTGATTTGGTAATTTGTTTGGGTTAATTTATTTTACTTATTTTATTGTCATTTTGTTTATTTATTTTATTTTATTTTATTTTTTCCAGTTTTTGATTTTCAAGTAACGTATTAAAAATTTGTTTTCATGTCTGCATTTTGAGATGAGCTTGGATCTTTTATTTAATAATTTATTTTGGTCTGGGAAGGTAATGATAGCTATTTTTCCCTCCAAGCAAAGTTTGCAAGATTTTGATTGGTTGTTGTAGGCTGATGATCTTTTCCTTATTTTCCAATATATTTTTGGTGTGATGTGCATTTTGTTTTTAATCTTCCATATATACTTAGAAAGCATTCTGCTATTCACATATTTACTATTTGTGAAAGATGTTTTGTGTACATAATTTCTTTGTTGCCAGGGTCCTTCAGTTACTCCTAGGTATACTTTTTCTTCATTATCTGGTGATTTTATTGTGGCTTAGTATATTACATTGTTTTGTAAACATTTGCCATTTAAGGGACATTCGTTCTTTATTCTGCAGTTTCACATGGGTTTAATTTGTTTGTGTGGTTTGTTGATAATTTTCCTGTTGTGCTTTTTTATTATTTGTGCCATGTTCTCGGTGCAACTGACCCATATATTTGTGCCATGTTCTCGGCACCACTGACCTGTATACATAAATAGCCGAGAAAAATAACACTCGTGGCCTGACGATTACGTCTAGCATGAAACAGACTTGCCTCTAAGTGTTGACTTCAATGTTCACTTATCTATATATATATATATATATATATATATATATATGTGAAGATAACACAGGCTTGAAATAAAGTATATTGACAATGCCTTAAAAACAATAATGGACATCTGAGGATGGCCAAAAGGTACTTGGTTGAAACATTGTGTCTGTAATAACATTTATAAGAACCAGCATAATAATATAAGCTTGAAATAATATTAGTATAGTGACAATGCCTTAAAAACAATAATGGACATCTGAGGATGGCCAGAAGGTACTTGGTTGAAACATTGTGTCTGTAATAACATTTATAAGAACCAGCATAATAATATAAGCTTGAAATAATATTAGTATAGTGACAATGCCTTAAAAACAATAATGGACATCTGAGGATGGCCAGAAGGTACTTGGTTGAAACATTGTGTCTGTAATAACATTTATAAGAACCAGCATAATAATATAAGCTTGAAATAATATTAGTATATTGACAATGCCTTAAAAACAATAATGGACATCTGAGGATGGCCAGAAGGTACTTGGTTGAAACATTGTGTCTGTAATAACATTTATAAGAACCAGCATAATAATATAAGCTTGAAATAATATTAGTATATTGACAATGCCTTAAAAACAATAATGGACATCTGAGGATGGCCAGAAGGTACTTGGTTGAAACATTGTGTCTGTAATAACATTTATAAGAACCAGCATAATAATATAAGCTTGAAATAATATTAGTATAGTGACAATGCCTTAAAAACAATAATGGACATCTGAGGATGGCCAGAAGGTACTTGGTTGAAACATTGTGTCTGTAATAACATTTATAAGAACCAGCATAATAATATAAGCTTGAAATAATATTAGCATAGTAACAATGCCTCATCTAAAAAAGTAAATACAAAATTATCTAAATTATGAAAAACAGTACATGATAAGCAAATATTAAAACCTGTCATTGAATATATAAAGGACTCCAAAAACAAGCCACTGATGTCTTTTGGGAGCGGGGGGGTCAATGACAGTGGATATAGGAGTTGGTTAAACATGTCTTATTGTCATTTAGTGGTCATGAATTCAATCTCTCGTTCAGGTAATAAAACTCTGGTTCAGCAACAATAAACAATAAGTGACATCACAAGTGCCAAAATAATAAATAATTAGCAGATTTATATTCAAACAATGGCCACTTGATGACGGCCAAAACAATGTGTATAATTAAAATTTTATGCAGTTACAGTTAAAGTCAATACATTTTTGCCAAATCCAGCACAAAGGTTTTCTCATTCAAATTCATACTCAGACTTTTCAGCTGTTTTCAAGCATGTAAAATATTAATCAGGAATATTCTACTTCTATACGCCATGTCCCTACAGAATGTGGATGATCATGGCTCTCCACCACTTCATGCCCCTTGTAGTTCTTAGAGAGGTTTGACTTTTTACTATCTCTCCTAATCCCTGTTCTACCAACCAAGCTTGGTAGACAGGCTATTCACTGCTTTCCTCTGTACCTCTTGCCTTCAATATGACCAGTGGGTGTCAAATTCTCAAAGCCCACTTTCTTCATTATGTATGCAAGAAATTTCAACTGTCTCTTTCGGTTCTAAGTATAAGTGTCATTTTTGTTTCCATTTTGCATAAAGCTTCATTATTGCTCATATTTTTAAGTCCATGGTATTTTCATATACTGTCTTTCGTTGGGCATCTTGGCATGGTGTAATGGTTAGCAAGCTTGTCTCACTAAGACAGTTTCAACTGAAAAGTGAGTTTGATCCTCACTGGATGCTGCACACTTTTGGCCTTGTGCCACATCTAAGCTATGCTTAGAAATTAAATATGTCTTTCATAAGATTGAGAATCAAGACAGAAAACTGTGATAAAAGAATTATCTTCAGCTTTAAAACAAAAAGGTCACCACAATATTCATTTATTCCATTTTCTTTTCTTTTTTATCCCAACTGCATTTCCTATAGTTAAGCCAACGTCTTTATCAGCTGAGAGACATAATCTAAGTATATTGCTAAAACAATGGGATGGCAGTCACAATAATAAAGACTAGAAAACAAAACAATGTATCTGGTTCAAGTGACACATTAAAACAGATTAACTAACTAATCTTATTATTCAAGTTTTGAACCTTTTTCCTTCACTTTTGTAATGAAATAAGCCATGTCTATCTGGCATTTAAAAGGGATTTAAAGCATTTTGTTTTTAGTTCTACTCAAAGATATTTCTCTATTAAATATCACTCATATATATATATATATATATATATATATATATATATATATATATATATATATATAAAAAATTATAATAAAAAAAACTTTGAAATTGTGACACAAAATTTTTCAAGTTTCAGTACAATGATTGTATGTTGCCTGAGGAAATACAATCATAGTATTGAAACACGAAAGCTTTTGTGTAGTGATTTCAAAATGTTTTATTATCCTATAACAAAAATATAATATATTGCTCTACTTTGCATTGAGCTCTTTTTAAAAACTAAATGCTATGAATAGTGGATTTTTACTCCATCTCTTTCATGTGTGTGTGTATATATATATATATATATATATATATATATATATATAAAATAAAGACAATTTCCATAAACACCTTTATTTCCACTGATGAAGAACAAATGCATATTTCACTTTTTTGCCAATACTCTAAACTAAACAAACATGATAACCAACCCCCATCCAAATTAAAATAAACAAAAAATCTAAATCAACAAATTAAATCAGTCAGTTATGTGCCATGTGTGATACACATTTAGGCAATCATGTATCTTTTGATACATGACTGATGAGGCAGATTGTATTCCCCACAGTAAGTTGCCATTTTTTTCTGCGGTAGACCAGTTGCCATCCAAGGCTACAGAACCAAGTCTGTGCTGCTATTTACCCATAGCTAGGGGGGAGAAGATGAGAATTCATACCTTTTCCAAGGGTATTAGCATGTAAGTGAATGCAATCGATTCAAATGGAATTCAAATTTGGCTTTCCAATTCTTCAATCTGAACCACTATCCATTACTTCACTATAACAATTAAATAAATAATAAACAAATTAACAAACTACAAATACATACATAAATACAAATTAACATAATAATAATAATAAACAAATTAAGAAATCAATAATAAACAAGGAGCAAAAAGTTAACATTGTAAAATAGTTGCAAATAACTGCTTTCAGATCCAATTATTTCCACTCAATAACTTCTAGAATAATTTGAATCATAACTGTTACCACCTACCCAATAAACATTAGGGTAATATAATAGACCTTGCTACCCATAATGTACCACTGACCACCATCTATAAATAGTTAAATCAAAACACAAAACAGCCTGAAATTTGTGTTTAAGAATAAAATAAACTGTCTCCGCTTGATGTTGACCACAGTGTCTGTTTACATAGGCTCTACCTCCGAGATTGACCACTTATAGCATACCATAAAATTGTGTG